ACAATATACCATCAATCTGAAAGGAGTTTGAAACAGTCGTGTATTTCACGAAGGGATGTAATGAAGATATGAAGATCTATTATCCAATCTTCCTGTTCTCACAAACCAATGAGATTTTCACTAAGGTCATCCCTAACGGGCTGTCAACAGGTATGGACGAATAGCAGTCAAGAGAACGCAAAATTTCGAAGCAGCTACAGCGCAAGGGGATTATATCTTTGTCTTAAGCCATCTCTTCGAGAGTGAGGGAATTCCAGATCCGTTCATGCGTCGTCTTCGATGGATACGAGGAAGCGTTTGACACTATCTAGCGTAACGCGATGCATATTGAAATGGCAGAACAGAACATCGATATGCTGAAGGAAGTGAACCCTGGATGCTTCACAAGCATCTCCGGATTCCAGTCAAGAAGGTTGTGAAGCAAGTGGGCACCATCCTCCGCGGTCTTTTTACCACTTACTTGGAAAATGACGTTAGGACGGATAAGCTGAAAGGGTTGGATTAACGTCAATGGCGAACAGGTCAGCCACATGAGTTTTGCCGACTGCGTGGTGTTGTTTGCTGAAAACGCCAGTCACCTACAAGTCATGCTGCAAGAGCTCGGCCAAGAAAGTGCGGAAGTTGGTCTGCTAATCAATTAATGGATTAAAGACAAGAAATCTGCGCGATTGGATGCCCTGTCTAAGACGTAGTAATATTAAGAGCTGAAAAGATCAAAGAAATCGATAAATATTTGCTTGGCACAGCGGGTGATCATGCTGGAAAGATTCTACGGAGAATGAAACCAGGGTGCCACGCATGTTCCTTAAATTTTACCTCCTTGGCAGTAATGCTGTATGACAGTGAGACGTGGTCACTCATGAAATCTAAAGAGCGCCACCTATCTGTCTGTGAGCGATTAATGAAGAGAAGGCTGTTGGAAATCTTTCGTCGTGGCAACAATCCGAACACGGTGATCAGACGGCGGATGGCGATGAAGGACATTTTCGTCGAAAGCAGAGGCAAGGAGCTACGCTGGGTCAAGCAATAATCTCGACTCACCAACGAGAGATGATCTTCGACAGGTTCCTCGCGGGGGACTAACTCATTCGGTGATTACCGCTATCCAAATGGCCTCTGGTGTTATTTTAACATTCTCTGATTATTCAGCGATGTATTCAGATACAGCCTTAAGGTCGAAGAGATTCACGTGATGCTGTCATTCACTTAAGTATAGTACGAAGGCACTGTTATAATACAGTTGAAAATGTTGCACGATGTGATTGATTAATAATTGCTTTCTGTTCTGTATCACAGCGTGAGATTGTTCGTTATCATGTGATTTAATATATTTAATATACGATCGTTTATTTTTACAGCTAACTACAAAGTGCTTCACTCCGATGTGACGTTTGGTATAATAAGTAGTACGCTTTT